GTATGGATGATATGCATCAGGAGAAACACAAAGCTTATTGCTCTGGCAATACTCTATTCCACTAAAGCATATCTTTACTAAAACACAGAGTAGTGCAGTATTATACAAATTACTTTTGACTCTCTTGTGTTTAGACTTTAAAGCATAGAATTACACAATGCAAAGGATTAGAAGATTTCACCTAACTCAGAGTATTTAAACTCAAAGTATTTAAAAAAGACACACAACCCACTTTCCAGTAGTCTGTTTAGAATATAAAGAAAATGTGTTTTGGCTGCGCTTTTAAATGCAGCACGTATCAGGTCAAAGTTTTTTATAGTATGTATGTCTTACAAGTGAAAGTTTTTGGGAAAGAGTTTTTCTTTCTAAATAATCAGAAACTAGAAAAGTAAACCTGTGGGCGAAGGATTATGGGGGCAGAATTATCACTTGCAAGGTAGGCAACAAAATCTGTTGGAAGGATATTTTTATATAAAGATATCAGTACTAGCGATGGAAAAGCTTTCCACCAGCTCACCTATACTCCTAGGAAAGGACCTTGCCGTTATAAAAGTTACAGTAACTAACAGTATAATACCTTTAGTATTGTTTTTAAATATAAAAATGGAACATGGCTTAAGTTCTGCCCAAATAGTTTAAGCACAGTGGGAAGTTTTACACTTTGTAGCCTAGTCTCCTTCCATTCCAGGAAACAGACTTCTTTATTTGATAGCCTTTTATTTTTCCTTTCCTGTAACTTTGATCTTAGGGTAGAGATTACTGTGTTATCACACAAAATTCCCTATTTATGAAGTATATTGCAGTTGCAATCAAAAATACTCTTGAGTTCTCATAGTTTTCTTTTATATGAAGTAATAGAGCTTAGAATTGATCTCTATACCACTTAGAGGTTTTCAAGTACATCAAAAGACAATGTTGTAAATGAAAAGTTCACTGGTTTTGGATGCAAACAAAATATATCCTTTCAGTGTTTTCAATATTGGGGTGAACAAGGGAGCCTTGTGTGCCAGTTTTCAGGTTGTGACCAGATTCAGTTTCTAATGGGATGCTGTACAGTTTGAAGAATGTGCTCTCTCTATATATCCTTTGACTTAACCATGTTCAAAACCTATTATTCAACCAAGCACTATAATAATTCTTTTGCCTATTACCTTACTAGAGCTCTCAGATTAGTCTATCAATGAATGGAAGATTAACTCCAAACAAAACTGTGGGGCCAAGGAGAGAGGGTGCCTTATATAAGCATAATGAAACCCTATAAATGTAACACCACATATTGCAGTTATCTCTGTATCCTAAAAAGAAAAATAAAGTTAATGTTGATGTTGTCATTAAAATGTACTTAGCATTTATTAGACCATAACTAGAATACTGTTTTGTATCCTGGAACTCAACACTTGGTAGTCTATGCTTTAAAAGGATTCTAAGTAAAGCACATAATCACTTCCCTCAATCTGTTTGCTCTGGTCCTTTTCATAAAGCTCAGGTTGCTGTTGTCCACCTTCTCTGCCACAATACAATGCTGGCTTACATTCAGTTTGCTGACCCACCAGGGCTCCCAAGTCCTTTTCTGCAGAGCTCCTCCCCAGCCTGTCCATCCCAGCTTGCATTGTTGCTGAGATTCCTTCTTCCCATGTACAGGACACAGCATTGGCCTTTAGTAAATTTCATGAGATTCCTGCTGGCCCATCCTGTGGCCTGTCTTCTGTCTAGGCCCATCTGAATGGCAGCTCTGCCTCCCAATTGGTTGCCATCTGAAAACTTGAGGAAACTATATTCTTACATGCTCCAGATCATTGTTAAAGATGGTAAACAGGGATAGAAATTCATGATTGCAACTACATAAAGAAGAAGAAGAAGGGCTGAATCCTACACCTTTCTTTAATCTTACCTTTTCTACCCTCTTTTTATTTACACTTAGATAATAAGGTAAAATACAGTCTCAAGCTGCTTCTATATGACTACCTGCTATTGATTATTAATATGACAGTAACATGTATATGAGGTCAGAATACCCTCCCACCTTCCTCTACTTTCTCTTAGCCACTGAATAAACAGCTTTAAAAGATAAATCCATATCATCAGGCTTTCTACACTCAGCTTTTGGTGAAGTGTTAAAAAAACCAGCAAGATGCAGTTTATATGCTCAAGTTGAGCAGCTGCACAGAGCAACAAGTATCCACTGCTTCTGTTGAAATGCATCTACAATCCACTTGCCCAGTGGAGACAGACTGACAGAAGGCAATATTTAGAAAACTGTTCTACAACAAACTGTGCAGCATTACAGATTGCACGGTACAACTATAACTATTACTGAATTTTAGGAACTATTTTTAATAAAAAACTGACTTCAAAATTGCCTAGGATGTCTATGCAGCATACATAATGTAATCTGTTTGCTCTGAGAATACTGCCTAAATGTGAGTTCTTTGTATGTCAACAATCTTTAACATATATAAAACTAATTTTAAAGTTGTATCACCTCTCCTAAAAATACATA